CAAAGAATCAACTATACGAGTAGTACAATAGTCGGTCTTATGGTTAAAAGCTGTCTTTTAAAGTTCGAATTTTACGAAAATGTCTACAAAATAATTGGCTCAATGTTACTTAAACACAGCTACAATAAATAGCGATATATACGAGTACTGATTATCATCAATAACGTGTTTGATAGTATTAAAATATTTACAATATAAATACACTTCAAAATTTATAATAAACCTATTACAATAATTTTGTATTATTTTCGAGTGTCAAATGAAAGAACAGACAATCTGATTTACCATCAGATTGTCTATGTTCGTTGTTGTGTTATTCTGTGTGTACAATATATTATATACCTATATATTAGATATTTTTATTTAAAATATTTTTCATACAACGAGGGTGACAAACGAGCATAAATAATGTATATTCATAATGAAGGTAATTGTATATTATAAGTTTTATTGGAAGTTTTGAAGATCAAACTTAAGAAGAAAAAATTAAGATGAGTCGTCAAAAGTAAAATCCAACATCGGGGAGAATCGCAGGGCACATATTACCAACACATGAAAGCAAACTCTATTCAACACACACATGCACACATAGGAAAAAGAAAGGGAGAGTCCCTTGGGAGGAGGAGCCAATGTCTCGGGACCGTACGAAATGGACGAAAGACTTCCAATAGGTATGCACAGAAATGCATTGTGTGCATGTGTGTAAATACGTACGCTTACTTATGGTTTTTATTTAGTTGTTCTGAGAAACATCTTCCGCACTGTAATCTCTCATTTTTGGATGTATGATTTGACTTGATATACTTCACTTCGCTATAATTAAATGTTCTGACTGCTGTTATTACTTACAATGGAGCGCTGCATATATTTTACAGGAGGCCTACCCTACCTAACCTACCCAAATTTTTGATACCCATTAACACACACATCTTTCTTTTATGTTTGTTTCTCTAATAGCCCTGAAAGGTCTACTGCTGAACGCAGAAATATACACCTAAAACCATGTTGTTGGTGTCAAAGGACTTCAGATGCATATGTGTCCGTGTGTTTAATTTTAGAATAAATTCCACGTAGACTTGCCTTGAATTTGGCATCACTTAGTCAATGCTCCGTCTCTACATAAAATATAATTATCAAATTAAGATAGGGTAAGTACGATTTCTGGATGAACAGTGTTAAAATTAAATTTCGCAGCTAACAAATCTAGTGATTATTTATTAAAATGTAGTACAAACGTTTGTATAAATAAGACAAAGCATGTCCAGAAAGTATATTCACATCGGTAAAAGCTACTTCGACTTGTGTTCTACCCACAACGTGTTATATATTCTTATACCCGTATATTCTTACCCTTGAAACGGGGAGCGACCACTGAATTATTCAATGACACACAGAAAGCCCAAATATAGACATAGCTATGCACACCGACGAAACTGTGTATTGAAATGAACACTATATGTATATATACCTAAGCTCTATATTTGTTCAAAGTTTGTAATAGGACACGTAAGACAAATATGTCTTAGCCAACTGTAGAAGCAAATTTGTACTCTTATGTACGACATAAGTGTGACTGCACCTTTAATGGCAACCGCGTCAGGGTTAACGCTAATTAATTTATGTAACTTTGTGAAAGTTTTAGTTTAACTATGAAATACGACACATAATGTGCGCTCTAGTGTCATATTTTAAATTTAATATACTAATTTATAATCATTTGGTAGCCATAAAGTGATAGTAGCTCTCCGTCATACTTTATGTGTATTTTACATTATTCAAGGCACACTGTCTATGAACTAAAGTACAGACGATATTATAAGTACAAGATCAGGAGTTGTAAAACATAATAATATTGTCTATAGCAGTTACTAAGAAAATCACAAATAATAGTTTTATACGTTTTGGCTGGGGAAGGACGACACTCTTACAAAATACAACGTAACAACGTAACGTAAAACAGCAGCTTAATGATGCTGGTGTGAGTGTAAAGAACCTGAGAACCTTTTTACTGGAAACAAGGCATTCCATCTTAGTCCTCAGGGGTGGCAGCTCATTTTCCTTATTATTCTTAATCGAGGATAGATGTAGATGTCTCTGAGCCTTAAGCTTGTTTGTCACACTTATTCTATAAAAAATAGTGTAAGTGTTCATTTAAATTTAAATTATAACTTAATTTCTTAAGTCTTGTATAATTTTAAAATGTAAATATAAAATAATAGGAAATGTAAACAGATAAACTCGTATAAATAAATTTAATTTCATCTCTCCCCTAAATTGGAGGCGTTTCAAATATTCAAGAGTCGTGAACGCAACCCTTCCTTCAGAGAGGGCGATACCGTCTGCATGATACAACACAATTGATAAGTAAACCGAGATTCAAATTATTAAACACTTAAACATATTTATAAAACAAGCCAATATAATAAAATATAAAGTGTAAATGTAGCCTTTTTAAATGATTATAAAATCGATTCAAAATTCGTATTTCTATTCTATTGGTGTATTAATTTATTAAATGATATAATAATTTTATTCATCCTCCTGTCAAAAGTCCACTACTTATCTTAGTGTATTTTTGCCATATTTATCACGCAACCGCAAGCCAAGCGTTGCAAACATGAAACAAAAACGCTGAATTTGAATCCCACACACTGATAAAGGACGGTAGCACAATTTTTTTCAACTTTGCAATCACCTAATCGCTTATTCAGCATTTTAAATAAATCTCGAAAAACCTATATAAAAACCTACAACAGTAAATCTGAAATGTTGAAAGAAGATATTTACCTATTTAAATTACCTAAAGTTCAACATATTAAATGGTATACCAATAATATCGGTACTAATAAAATACTTTTAAAATCTTGTTGTGACGTAAATGTAAACCTATTTTTCTACGCCGATACGAAAAATGTAACATAAATTGTTATTTGAGATTTTTTTTTCTTTTTTTTTAAATTTTAATACTTAATATTATAGTAGCAGTAATTCTAATTTTACATGGTATTATTTTTCTAAGTTAACCCAAAAAGTGCCTTTCTAAATATACTCGTATTGCCCCTAACGCTATCGCTGATAACTTAGAACACACGACGAACTGTACAGACGGAGTCGTGCAAGCTACACGGTAATTTTTCCTAGCGTCTAGTAAACAAGCAACCATTTACCTGTCGACAGCGCGAATAATTACGGCTGGACCTTGAGAAAATAAGCTAGATCTGCTACAGAGTATTTCACTCTGGTATCTTTTTATTTTAGTAATTTTCGTTAGTTATACAAGATAGAAAATATATAATACGACATTAGCCTGATAAATTTTGTTTGTGAAATGCCTCATCTGATAACGAAACCTTCTTGACTTTTAAACGATATAAGCTGTTAGGAACAGGTCACAGAGTACCTACAACAGGTAGAATGTTCGGTATGAACTGGTGAATTTAATTTCATGTCTTCAAAATAAAATCTGTTTCAGAACACGTGATAAGTTAATTTTAAAAGTGTGATAAACAGTGTTATTGAACTAGTTGTTTAGTTAGTTGTTTTGTTTAATTTTAAAGTACCCTGCTGCAAAATTGCTTAGCCATTCGTACTTATTTTTTCCATATTCTTAAAAGTAAAGTCGTGATAGCTTAGTGGCGTATCTGATCAAACAAGGATGATTATGTTAAACATAGTTTAAACAAGATGAAAATTATGTAGAATGTTTGTAAAAAGACAGTTAGCCGGTTATGTGCTTCTTTAGTGAGTAAAAATACGTTTTAAAAGTGAAATGTTTTAAGTTTTTTTTTTTCAGAGAAGGGTATAGAATAACTCTACTTACTTGAAATCTTCTCATATCTCGAGGGTTACCGGCATTCTTTAAGCAATTCTGGTTGCATTTCAGAAAGAACTTCAGAAAAAATCTGCAACAATAAAATATATATTATTAAAATGGTTTTTACAGTAATAAGGAATAACGTCTCTGGTTACTAAGTTTTGTCTTTGATCTTCCGATGTTTCTAATAATTAAGAAAAAAAAACTTAAGCAATTTGCAATGATCATAAGCCACGATGATCTTAGAATATAGAATACAAGGTCAAAGACTTAAGAAGTCTGCGAAATTTTATAGAAATAAAAATACTTAGATTTTTTTATTCAATATAGATTATAAATAATACTTATTGAAAGTCACTTAGATTTTTTTATTTAATAAAGATTATAAATAATACTTATTGAAAGTCACTCTGTAAAAGTCGCCTCTAAAATTTCAGATTAGACAGATGTTACGGAAGTGGGTGAAAACTTAATTATAAAATTCCATTACATTCATACATATACACATAGAAACATACAGGTCGAGCAAATACAATGCGTGTAACAAAATATTAAAGTTTAAGAAATGAATGACTGAGACACTTTGAGAGAATACTAACTAGGCTTTAGGCTTTAGTTATGAATTTATTGTATTGTCATTGATTCTTAATACGTCTGCAAAGTTTCAAATTATTCTGGAGGCCGGAACTTGATGAAATCTGAATATAAAATTCCGTTATATTCATACATATATGATATATCCGTATATGTATGAATATAACGGAACGTACGTACGTACGTACACACAGGTCATGCTAATATAAAGCGTGTTAAAAACACAATGCTTATTTTTATTATTTCGAATTAAAACTGACAGCATTAAATTACTATACGTGTATCAAATGTATTATTTACCACCAACACATCTGACTGTGAAACCCCGAAGTTTGATTTTAACGACAGCTGTTTCCACTTCAAAAGCCGCAACATAAACGAACACATTAATTTACTAATTTGTTTCTTGTGTTCACTAATTTCAACTTCCCACCTTTTCGTCCCAGGTTTTTCAATAGTGACTGTTAAAGACAAGTGAGTGTGAAACTCAGGGTCTATTTGTCTTAAAAATATTTAGATATAATTTGATTTGATAAGTAAAATTATTTAAATAATTATCTGTTTTTACAAATGTATCATTTCATCTATCATCAAATTGGTATCAAACAATTTTCTGACGAAATTCTATGGACTATCAAATCGGCTTACACACATTCGCGGATATTATATTATTATAGAAGAAAGCTATGCTGTTGTAATATAGCCCTTATTTTATTGAAATTAAGGTTTCTGTGATATGAAAAGATAAGTTTGCTACTGCGTAACGTAGAGCGTACGATCAGGCAGGCGATCACGATGAATGCTTTAGCAGAAATATTTTACATAGCCTCGGGCATCGCCAGTACTGCCACACTGAATATTGTTGTGCCAACAGACGAGTGTGTATATAGAGAAGATATTACTACACTTTATAATTATATGATTTAAAGTAATTTTTAAGATAAATTGAGAAAAGGCCTGAGTTTTATCTGTTTCTTGATACATTATAATGTGTGTTAACTTACTAATTTGTAATTACTAAGAGCCGTATTATTATAACGAGGTATCAATAAAGTTTTCTCATCTGGTTGGGCTGTATAAATATAAAGCTGCAAATGAAAATAATAAACATACTTACATAAACATCAATAAAATAAAATAAAAACATAAAAAATACATAAATAAATAAAAACCCAACCAGATGGAAACCCTCGGCAGAGGAGACCAAACTGCCGAGGGTTAGGGGGAAAGGGAAAGAAACCGGCGGACGACGCGGGCCGTATCGAGGAGCACCGCTTTCTGCATTTGAGCTTCGAGCCCTCCGTCACGGAGTCCCAGTCGCCTCAGATGACCCGAGAGGTTGACTGGGATGAACCCGTTCGCAGAGACGACTACAGGTATAATTTCGGCCGGCAAATCACCCCACATGTCGGTCACCCCGTGAGCCAGGTCTTATTATAATTATTGTTGGGATTATTTAAAAAAATTACATATAATTAATTAAGTCAAAAAGTTTGTGTGAGTGTGTCTTGCATCATATACAATCTGGGGGCACGGTACTGCCCCCGCCAAGTCGAGTATAAATGGGGCATGGCCGTACCATCCTTTTCTCCAAGCAGTTCAGGCCATTTTAGAAACCCTATAACTTCGTTGTGAATAAAATTGGAAGCCTGAATTTTCAGTAACCAAGTAGGCATTATATAATTTCGGTATATTTCAAATTTCATTCAATTTCATCTAGTAGTTTAAGAATTATAACAAGTCAAAGTTTCTTAATTTTGTCACTCACCGACTGACCGATCATCAAAACTCTAAGGCACTTCTAGCAGACATAGAAGCTTCAAATTTGGAATACAATTATGGTTTAGTATATAAATCAAAGGAAAAGTAAAATATTTTGCGATTTCGGGTCAGTTTTTGAGATACACTAGCTGCATAAATAACTTTGTAATCCCATATAAATATATAGGATTACAAAGTTACATTTGCAGTGAATGAATCAGTGTACCTATATATGTATAATATAATGGAATAATAGGCGTAGATAAGTACCTAGATATAACTATCTACAAAAAGAAATGAGATGTTATCAAAAAAATAACTTGTAAAAAAAAAACAAGTCTCGCAACTCAGTTCTTCTACCGTAAAAAGTTGTGAGATCCATGTAATACCAAGTCGGTTAATTTATTTAGTCCTTACTTAAGGGTCCTTCTATCTTAAGTTATTACGTAATTAGCTAACCTAAAAACACCTTAAAGTGACCATATCAATATTAAAAATCTTTTATGTTTTAAATAAATAAATTGACTTGGCAATCGCACTAAAACAATTAATTTAATATATGTATTACTTGAGAGATACATTGTGTTTTCATGTCATTCATTCTATTCGACTGGATTTCATAATGTAGTATTATTTTATAAATAATAGCTAGTAATTTATTTCATATTTAAACAATAAGTCTTTAAACGTTTAAAAATAAAAAAATGTTGTATCAGCACTAAGCATTCTTCGATACAGGATCATATAGGAGGCGCGTACCGCGAACGTATTTGTGCTCGCAGAGCCCGCGGCGTCGCACATCTGTTCCCGCATTATTTATGTTAAACACCTTATGTCACAATATCACGAGTTAGGAGTTTACGCGACTGTCAAACGACACCGACTCTTGAGGTATGAATGGAAATTTTATTTTTGGAACAAGCGCAGATAGAAATATGGGAATGTGATTTCAGAGAATGTTTCAATAATGTTGCGCGTAGACTGGATAGAAAAAACTAATTGTGAACCACAAGGCTAAGCGCCCTTGATTTAGTTGCTTGAGATACCATTAGGGTTGTCAACTTCTTTTGATACAATAAATAAATCATTTTTAAGGAGTTATTTTAAAAAGTATCTGTGTCTAGTCTGTGATATTACGCCATGTTACAGTTGTTTTACAGTTGCAGCACGAATGTATTAGTTCGTTCACGCTAACATATATGTAATAGGAACGAGAAATAGCAGTATAATGCCCCTAAACCTTTTTCATTGGTAACAAGGCATTCCTTTTTGATTCCCAGGATGTAACGCATCTACATTTTATTTCTTAATCGAATAATGAAACAAAGTCACCTGTAAACCCACATCCAAAGTTTCCACTATCGTCAAAAAATAGTTATAAGCCGCACCGAAGGCATTGCTCTTGACTTGAGGCTTCCTCTATTATATTCACTAGAAAATATCTCTGTTGGAAATAAATTGGATATTGCTACTATTCACGACATGAAATGGCAAATGAAACATATTATTGGAGAGCGGTAACCAGCTTGATGGTGAGGAATTTAATTTTTAGAATATATAGCATTTTTTTTAAAGTCATGTTAGCTCGGGAACTAGGCGCACGATGTAAGTTCTACACTACGTGAGCATTCTGAGTTCGATCATCACCGACGTCAATGAAATTGTTAATTGCAATTTTAAGTCTTTATATGGCACATGTTTTGCGGTGAAGGGAGACATCATGAGAAAACCTGCGTATATGAAAAAAAATTTAAGACATGTGTAGTTGCCCTAAAACCCTGGCTTGCCCTAAAAAAAAATAAAGACCTGTGCCCAGCAATGTGACGCACATAGGGTTATAATTTAGCTTTTTTTTTTCTTTACTCAGCATTTTTTATAATTTAAGTTTTTTTTATAAAAATCATTATCGATTTCGCGCTATAGCACCTACGTAATTTTATAGACATATCAAGAAAAAAAAATTAAAAGCACACAGAGTTAATGACGACAGTTAACTTCTGTATCTCTACGTGACATTCACAATGGAGCTCCAAGACCCGACAGGCGTTAATTTATTTGAGCGGCGTCGCGATTTACGAGTCGGAATGATGCCTTACGCTCGCTACTGAGTGCTGTCGGTTATAACTCTGATGAGGCTAATAGCACCTCGCTTTAATTTATTAACGATTGCTGTTAACGATAAATTTCACAATTTAACGTATGTAGGTACATTAATACGCATGTATCTTACGTAATCATCATCATCATCATTATAGCCCATCGCAAATACCATGCTGCACAAAAGCCTCCCCAAGGAATGTCACAAAGCATTTTTATACGTATTATACTTAGTAAAATGCGTTTAAGTACATTTTACGTTACGTTACGTTACGTTACGTTTACGTTGATCATGTTTAACGTCCATGTCATACCTATGCCGGTAGTTGTTGGGAGCACTAAGCTCGAAGTTGTTGACGAGTATGTTTACCTGGGACAAATAGTCCGACTAGGTAAGTTTAACTTCGACCGAGAGGTCAATCGACGGATTCAACTCGGCTGGGCTCGGCTTGTTCGGGAGATTAGGATACATTTTCTCGTCAGACATTTATCTCAAAACCTCAAAACTAGATTATACAACCAGTGCGTGGTGCTAGTGATGACCTATGGATCTGAGACGTGGTCCTCCACTGCTGGCTGTTGAGGAAGCTCAAAGTCGCTCAGCGAGCTATGGAGAGGGCAATGCTCGGCGTTTCT